GCTATAAACTGATGCAGGTTTTCTATACATATATTTCTTTGTGACAATCCAATAATCCTTGACATAAATTAGTTCTTGGTCCTTCGTTGCCTCCTTTATGACCGTTCGGAAGAAAATATATCGTTTTTTCGAGTTTCGTCTGGCCCTTATCCTTTCTATTCTAACTTCCATGACCCATCTTTTACCCTCAAAACCACAGGTGGTTGCTTATTAATTAAGATTCTCTCTCCCTTTTTCTCATCTCTCTCTACCTCCCTCGTTTGCCTCTTCTCCTTCCTTTCACCACAGAACCTCTCTCTATCCCTCACTCTCTCCCTCTATCTCCTTTCCCTCCTCCCTCTTTCAACACTCCTTCTCTCCCTCCCTTCCTTCCCTTTCCCTCCTCTCCTTCCTCCTCTTTTTCCGTCCTCCCTCCTCCTCCCTCTTTCCCTCACTCCCGTCCCTCTTCCCCCCTCCTCTCTCACCTCCCTCTCTTTCCCTCTCCCTCCCTCTCCATCTCCTGGAGCCCTGTTCAAAACCAGTTTCCAGATCGGGTCAACTCCCTCCCTCCCAGCTCCCTCTCCCTCCTCCCTCCTCGAATCCCGGGCCAAATTTTGCTTTCCTTCCCGGGTCGCTACTTGTGCTCTCTCTTCGCAGGTCACACGCCATTTCTAGGTCAGCGCCGTCGGTTCGTGGATCATTTCTCTCCCAAGAACGAGGTCAAAGGTTTAGTCTCCCTCTACACATCCACTTCCCCTTCCACCACCTCCTCTTCTTTCCCGTTCTAATCTTCTCTCTCTTCCTCCTTCCCCGTCCTCTTCATCATCTTCTCTCCCTAATCCTTTTTCTTCTCCGCCTTCTTCCCTCTTCTTCTCTTCTTTTTCTCTTCTTCTTCTTCTTCTTTCTTCTTTCTTCTTTCTTCTTCTTCTTCTTCTCTTCTTCTTCTTCTTCTTCTTCTTCTTCCTTCTTTTTCTTCTTTCTTCTTCTTCTTCTTCTTCCTTTTTTTCTCTTTTCCTCTCTTCCTTCCTTCTCCCTCTTCTCCTCCATCCAATCACTCCACCTCCCTCACCCCTCACCCCCCGCTTCCAAGCTCCTAAATAAACTTCGCCTTATATAGCACCTCCGTCCTTCCGATTTCCGCCAGATCTTATTATTCAAATGCGGTTTCTCCCCCCTCCCCCTCCCCCCCTTCCCACTCTCCCTCCTCGCTTCGCTCTCTCCTTCATTCCTCAACACCCCCCTCTCCATCCACACTCCTTCCCCGTACTGCTCCGCTCTTCCTCCCTACCCCCCTACCCTCTCTCGCGCTTTCTCCCTCCCTCCCCCTCCACTCTCCCTCCCTCCCTCCTCCCTCCTCCTCCTCTCTCCTCCCTCCCTCCTCTCCCTCCCTCCTCTCTCTCCCTCCCTCCCTCCTCTCTCCCTCCCTCCCTCTCTCTCCCTCCCCCTCCTCTCTCCCTCCTCCCTCCTCTCTCTCCTCCTCTCCTCTCTTCTCTCCCTCCCCCCTCTCTCCCCTCTCCTCCCCCTCCCATCCTTACCCCAACTCTATTTCCCGTATCCTATTTCATTTCCAAATCCTCTGTGGCGGGTGATTTTTTCCCCCTTTATTCATTCAGTTTCCTTTTTTTTCTATTCTTTAAGTTCAGAATACACGAAGCCTTCTTTTTATGTTTAAGGTTGAATTCAGTGAGGCTGAAATACAAGCTGATTGCAATAAAACGAAAATAGACGAATGATTAAGAAAGCGAGGTAAACACAACACAGAACTATACAATGAGGAAAAATGTAACACGGACGAAATAAATAGAAATTGAGTGAAGTAAATAAGAATGCAAGAATCAGAATGGGTTAGTCATAACAGAAGAAACACGATGACCTTTTTATTTAGATCAAAATGAGTTTTTTCCCAATGTTCATAAAATAATAACAACAAAACAACAAACAACAATAATAATAATAATAATAATAACAACAACAATTCATGACTAAATGATAATGGTAATCATAATCATAATAATGACAATAATAATAACAACAACAATAATTAATACAAACGAACAACAATACTGACAATAATGATAATAACAATAACAACAAATAACCAGAAATCACCAAAAATCCTTACCAAGCTACGTAAGAAATTTTGGAAACTCATTTTCCATCCTAAGATAACACTGTCCAAAAATCACACCCCAAGTTCCACCAAAAAACAAAAATATTAAAAATAAAAAACCTGTACACAAAAAAAACTCATCTTCGCCGTCAAAATAACACAGTAAAAAACCCTATTTATAACTCCATTCAAAAATCAAAGAAGAACAACAAAATATGAAAAAAAAAACATTTACATAAAAAAACACGGAAAACTAAAAGCAGAAGTCAAGGCTCACTTTTTCACTGGGACTTTCTTGTGTTTGTCGACCATGAGCTGCAGTCTGGTGTAGGCCTTCTTCAGGAACACGATGGGGGAGGCATTCTGGCTGAGCAAGTTGTAGGCCATCTTCAGCACCTCGTCCGCCCACAG